AAAGTAACGCAGGTGAATAATACCGACCTTGTCTAACAAGTAGCAGTAGATTCAAAGTTGCGGTGTCGGAATCATAAAAAGGTGTCAGTTCCGTTTGAAACAGTAGACGACTCCCACCCTGCGATGTGTCAAGCAGACATTGCCATTAATAGTTTCAATGCTGTTGAACGTTCCACCATTAAATCTCAGGAATGAAAGAGCTTTACACAGAAGAGACACGTTGAGCTGATAGATTGCAGATCAGTCCCAATTTTGACATAATTTGTAAGTGTTAGAGAAGAACCTGGTCATTTCAGACATGCTGCTCTCTGTGCTCGGTGCCTGATGTTGTCAGTCCAAACATGTGGAGGCAATGACATACGCAGTACAGCGTTTTAGTTTTTGGAGAGCACACGGTTCACACACTGACAGACGAAAATAATCGAGCATTAAAACGCTTTGCAGTAGCTCTGACACGTACGAGCCTATCACTTGAGACAGCGGATTTTCTGCAAGTTGTAGAGCTGCAGATGTTTCGGATTAAAATATGCTGAACATGCGCTGCTGAACTTGGTGCAGACCACTGCCTACGACCACGCCCGATGTGCACATCACATTTAACTTTTATTTTCCCCTGGTGATAATCTATGTAGGCTAAGTGGAAACAAATGCGAAGTAAAACTGATTTGTTGCTCTGTGTATTAGAATAAACAAAAGCCCACTTTCTGTTCAGTAGAGGGAGCTCGTAACACGCATACCTTTGCTGTAAACTTCTGTTTTGGGGTGGGGGCATTTATGCTGCATGTGCACTGTGTTAGATGGGAGAGCACGCCCAGGGTTGATTACAGTCAGCCTACTTTATTTCTGACATCTGAATACATTCAATACCGCACAGATACACGTTATACTGTGCAAACCTTGTTGCATTGTCTCCAGATGCCGGTTAAATCATAGCCACATGCTCCTTTCTCAGATTTCTAAGCGCACATAGGGAACAAAGGTGCAGGGACCAGAGGCGCACATGCACGCAGACATGCACACGGTTCTGACTGTCACAACCTGTGCCCAGGAAAACACAGTTTGCTCATAGGGTCAGTACTAAACGTGAGTGGTCATGTTTTTACAGTATAATATGCAGTTGTGATGAACCGTCATTTATGCAAAACAGTTGGTGAAGCTTTATTTGGGGTGGGGGGGGGATGGGGGGGACTTCTCTGACTTTACATTTAATCTGTTGTCAGTGCAGAATCTCACATAGTGTATGTGTATGACTGTTTATTTGAATATTCAGTGTTGAATGCTCTTTCATGGAAACACCTATGAAAGTAGTTTATGTAGGCTGTTATCTGCCAAAGTATAATTTAAATCCAGTAAACATCCAGTAAAAAGCTGACCATAACACAAAGACCGAACTTCACTGTAATCATAAAAACCAGACAAAGCTGATGGGTTTATTGCAAAACAGAAGTTAACCATTAGATGTTTTAAACTGCTGTTTGATGGTTTCTCTAAATCTTAAAGAGTTCTACTAACTTTGTCTGATTAAATGAAACCTAAACATGCCCCATGGTCATTACAAAAAGGCTCAGTTTCCAAGTTTGTGACAAGCTGACTTTTAGTGGATGCATGCTTTTCAGCTGGTGGTGTAGATTTATACTTGTGGGGTTCAGAGGTGAGGAGGAGGAGGAGGAGGAGCTGGGTGGAGTTCGACACCAAGGAGAGGCCTGTGTGAGAGGTTCAGCTCAACACAGATGCATTAACTCACCAGTAAGCATCAGAAACACATATGCTATTTCTTATAATGGTCCCCCCCCCCCCCCCCACCCCCACCCACACACCCCCCCAACCACAACA